GGATTAATTTCAACAAATGATAGTCTAATAATTTTGTATGAAGACAATGCAGCTTGTATTGCACAACTCAAAGGAGGCTATATCAAAGGTGATAGAACGAAGCATATTTCTCCAAAATTCTTTCATACACATGAGTTTCAAAAGAATGGCGATATCGATATTCAACAAATTCGCTCAAGAGACGATGTAATCGATTTATTCACAAAAGCACTACCAACATCTACATTCAAAAATTAATTTATGAGATTGGAATGCGTCGATTCAAATATTAGGGGGAGTAACTGTACTCTTTTTTCTTAGCTTAGGTTATGTCCCACTGGATTTTCCTAGCAAAGTTTTAATGATGTAACATTTATTTTTAGTACTCCAAAATAACTGTACTCTTTTTCCTTTGTTTGATTTTTTTTCCATTAGATTTTTATCAAACAAGATTTTAACGAGACAGTTATTGTACAAATAATCATCAATGGGGGAGCGTTGTAAAATAATGAGATAATTATTGAAGATTATTTAATATTATCATGATAATGGATAAGTCTTATTTATAGTTTAGAAGATCTATTTTATTTCAATTGTAACTCTTATTTTGGACCCTATAAATATAGGACATTGGTTCGTAATAATACACAATTGAATTTTAACTCTTTATTTCTTCTCTTATTTTATCTCTTCCCTTTAATTTTATAACATTAATATAATTTTCAACACAATCACGTGCCATTTTAGCATTTAAGCTTGCATTGGCAATCAACAAAATGTTTTGAAAAATGCCCTGTATATGCAAAACATATGCCCCAGTTTAGAACATTGCTTATAACATATAATAGTATATTGGCTAAAACAATTCTTACCCTTGTATCCATGGGCGAATCCAGCATCTATGTTTAGTTAGGGCAGAAGTTGACTTTGACCATTGATCATCGACAATCAACGATCGTAATAGCTCGATCGTTTATTAAAATTTGATTAAATAATATTAAAAATTGTTCAATATATATTTAAATGCACTAAAAAGTAAAAATTATATACATATGAAAATATAGTTCAATATAACCCAAAATGCTAAAAGAAATACGATACAAAGCAATCAAACACTTGCTTGATTTTCTACCATGACATAATGCAACAAAAGTATTTAATTAAGCTTAGATATGTTCTTTGATGAACTAATAATTGGTGAAACAGAGCACAAAATGTATTCTAAAATGCAAAGATATTAGATCCAGTAAAACTTACCGATTGGTTGTGAAAAAAAGTCCTTTTTGTATGTTGATATAATACAATAATCAGATCCAGGAAAAGTAGGATATTGCAACCGATGTATCTTGAATTGGAGATGAAGAGTGATGAGAAAACATATATTCAGAATTTTGTGAGGTCGAAAACTGGTTCAGTTTTTGAATCACCAGGCAAACAGCACAAGAGTAAATGATTTTCTTATTGTCAGCCATTTAATGAATTTCAGTTACATTGTGGGTTAATTAGGGAAAGTTTAAATGACAGTAGATTTGATGATTTTTTATGGATTGTGTAGTATATTTTATAATTTAGAAAATGTGTGGTATTAATTGAAATATTTTATATTTCATATGCAAATATGAATTTATCCCTTCATTGATTTCCTCTATGGGCTTTTTTTTTTTTTAAAACAAAAAGATGCCGATGGTCCAATCACCAACCCAAGCCCTAAAGAATAAGAAAACGGAGCTCTTCTTCTTCCCCCCTTCAGCCTTCGTCTTTGCAACTCGCCCATGGTCTAATCAGCCTTCCTCTTTGCAACTCTTCTTCCCCCCATGGTCCAATAACCAGCCCAAGCCCCAAAGAAAAAAATGGAACTCTTCTTCTTTCCTCCTTCAGCCTTCGTCTCTGCAATTACAACTCGAACAATCAACTGGCTTCGCCCTTGTGGCTCCGACGATCAGCGAATCTAGCGGACGACCGCCCTAACTCGTCACCACCTAAATCCGTCACTATTTTTATCGTTGTGGTTACGAAAGGATTTGGGCGTTGCAATTGTGGTTTGGAAAGTGAATAGGAATCGTTTGAAATGAAGGATTGTGGGAAGCAAGCACATTAAAAAAATGATCGTTTGGAAGTGGGGGCGTTGGATAGTGCATGGACAAAGATTTACTATAAGAATGGGTCACATGCATTGTAAGTGAGATTCGATGGAATGTTAGGTAGGTTTTCATCAATTTGTCCTTGCGTGTGCCAAAATAATAATGGATTATACCACTTATACATAAAAATGGTATATAAGAAATTACATAAAATGATGTCAAGGAACAAAATTAGATGAAAAAGTTAATTATATTTTAAATTGACAAATGATATAATGATACGTGGCATTATGTAACCCATTATATAAAGTTTGATATATATTTAACAAGGTCCAATAATTGTTTGGGGTCTTGATTGGGAAAAAAAAATGAATGGAGACTCAAGTTCGACAAGGGTATAAGTTGGAGAAAATAAGTGCTTGTTTGACAAAATTTTGCTAAAATTTTATCTTCTTTCAACTGATGAAACTTCAATTTTTATCGTGTATTTTATGAATTCTACAACTTTCAATCATATATTATCAACTTTATTTTATCAAAAGTTTTATGAAATAACTCCTAAAAAGGTTTTTCAAAATCACCTTTTGACAAATTAGTAGGTCAGTAATTTTACACGTGTTGGAAAATCCTCGAGAGTTGGATGGAAACTTCGATAACCAAATTGAAGAATGAAAACTAAAACACGAACTAAAGTTGCAGAAAATCTGAGAGAGATAGAGAGAGAGAGAAGATGTTGAACACGTGAAAACACGTTGTCTTAAAAATGACATTTGCTCCCTCTTCCTCTTGAGATTGCTTGCGATATTCACTGGTAAAGCAAGATTATTAATCAATCCTTTTATGAGTTTACAATAAGCAAATCCAAAAACTCACAAAAGAAATAAGAGCAATTTTCAATTTATGAATTCATGGTTTGTCAAGTTTTCAAAGACACGTACGATCAATATGTTCAATTTCTCAACTTTTCATGAAGCCAAATTCAGATTTATTTATTTTTAATTGAATAACCTATTAAAGTGGACTGCAATATATCTTCCTTAAAGTTTCATCCTCTTGAGCGGGCTTTCTATCTATTTGAGTGGATAGAAATCATGCATCAAGAAATATGCCTTTTACCTCCGATTCACTAGGTTTTCAATCCATCCTGCTCTCTCAACTCGTAAACCATTGTACATCAACAATAATTCTCTTTATTTATTTGAAAATAAAGGTTGAACGGGCTTAAAAACAAGGAAAGTGTGGATAGATTGAATTGGAAACAAATTTTTTTTTTTCGAATTGTCCATTCATATTTCGACACATGTTCCCATTTTAACCCTATTGTTGACTCTATTTTTGGAGTATTTCTCTTATTTATTTGAACCATTTCAAGAACACATGCACCTAAATTTATTAGATCGTACTATAATTAAATCAATGAAAGGTTAGACATTTAGCTAACTTTTCAATTCCGATGGTCCCCTTTCAATAACAAACATGTGGAGTAAAACTGCCCCTTCAAATAGGGTATAACTACGAATTTTTCAAGAAAAAAAGGAGAATATCTTTTTTCTTTTTTCATCCTTATTTTTTTTAAGGTGAAATGAACTTTATTTATTGGACAAGCTCTAAGGGAATAATCTATTTCTTTCGTATTTCTGCATTTCTTTCTCATGACGACTAGGTTCTTGAATCATAGAAGAGAAAATAAATGAATACATCCAATTAATTTGTAAAAATTATTATCTAAAGCAAAAAATGAATATGTGAATAAAATGACACGAATCACTGCTTGCATTTCTGAATGATAGAACGATATGTGAAAGCACTCTAGCATTCGATGTCGTACTAACTTCAAATAGGTAAGAAAGCCTAACTTAAATGCACAAATTTGGCTCAACTTAAATGCTAAGGGCATGTTTGGTATGGATTAAAATCAGATTTTAATTTAAATCAAAATCAAAAAATCAATATTAACACATCTTTCATGGATTTCATAACTTTTAAATTACATATTTGAAAAACTTATATCACAATTTACTAAAAAAAAATATAATGTTAATCCACAAGGAGGGGGACACCCTTATGTACCAAGTTTGATGCACCCATAGACCAACCCTTCTAAGAGAGATATTAAAATTGGCTTCTTCTATCCCTTTTCGACTAACCAAAAAGTCATATTATCGAGCAAAGATTTTTCTTCTTCTTCTTTGTAAAATAATAGAAGTCTCACTATGGAGTAAAGTGCGTGGATTGAAACTTACGTACATACGTCGAAGCTCATAAGCATACTATTATGGAACTTTGGTAAGCCTATGTTTGGCTAATAAGCAGTTTATAAACATTCAATTTATTTTTTATTTATACATTTTGAGTTATTCACAAGTATTATTCAATTAACCATCTCTTATTTCAATCTACACATAAATAAAATTATATATAAAATACTATTTAGATATGTAGAGTAAAAAGTTGTGTTTGTTTGGTAAAGATTTTGATAATTGATTTTTTGACCGTTAAAGATAAAGTGGGTCCTACCTATGAGAGAAAAAATCAAAAATGATGGCTGAAATAGTAAAATAACGGTCAAAAAATTGATTTTAATTAAATTAAAATCGCAAACAAACAAGCTCGTAACTTATTTTAACAGTAAAATAAAAATATGCTTAAAAAAATAAGTGGAAATAAGATTTTTAAGATACACGCATTTGAAAATTAAAATGTAGGGTAAAGCGTCGTCCCCACGTATAAATAACTGAAGCTAGGGTTTAGCATCGCCCCTACCTACTTATTAACTTATAAGTAAATTTATGATTAATCTTTTTAAGCCCACCCGTGGGCCAGGAAAAATGCAGTTTTAGGCACATAATTTGTGAGGGTGGGGTTTATCAATTCATGGAGGTAGTGTCACATCACACTATCAAAATCACTCGCCCCACCCACTACTATTGCAAAACACACAGACATTATTATTGTACCCAAACTCCAACAAGATAAAAAGGAGCGCAGCATCTCTTCCTTCTCTAACTCCTAAAGGAAAAGTGCAATTTAGGGGTTTTGGGGGAACTTGAAAAGAATGGAAGTTACTTCCAAGTTCTTAGCATTGACCTAATCTATTGTAAAGAAATTGCTTTGTGTAAAGCTGATTTCATTTTCTTGATATAACTGGGGCGCACACACAGTGTGGAGTTTTCGAAGAGGTAAAGTAAGATGCCAAGGCCAGGTCCCAGACCTTATGAGTGTGTTAGAAGAGCTTGGCACAGTCATAGGCACCAACCCATGAGAGGTATAATTATTAGAGAGATTTTCAGGTACTGGGTCTTGTCTTTCTTGAATTTATTTTCTTGTTTCTTAGGTGAAATTCGTTAAATGTTCACTGTATTTGACAAGGCTTGTACATGAGAATCACTGTGCTGCAACTAAGAAGAATAAAGAATGGCAAGAGAAGCTTCCTATTGTGGCGTTGAAAGCCGAGGAAATCATGTACTCCAAAGCCAATTCTGAGGTTTTTAATTTCTGTCTTTATTTTGATGTGGGTTGTGTTTAGTTTCTTAAAATTGTATGCTCAATGTGTTGGTGTCATGATTTATATGTGTTTCTGTTTTGCTATTCTTAATTGGGTAGGCTGAGTACATGGATCTTGAGACGCTATGGGACCGGGTTAATGATGCAATTGATACCATTATTCGGAAAGATGAGAGTACAGAAACAGGAGAGCTCCTGCCTCCTTGTGTTGAAGGTATACACATTGCCTCTGGTTCTTCAACTGCAACTTCGTTAACCTCAAATAAGTGAAATATTGTTTGGTTTGATGTGTTTTTCCATTCTCAGTTTTGTTACTTAGAAGAAATGTTCTGTTGCATTAGTTCGAGATGATATTGTAATATGCATTATATGATATGGGTTCTCGTGTTCAGCTGCCCTTACTTTGGGATGCGTGGCGGTAAGAGCATCCAGAAGCCAAATGCATAGCAATCCAAGAACTTACCTCAGACAAACAGTTCAAGAATCTCATGGTGTATCTCCTAAAGTTTTAGATGAGAATACCAATGAACGCACATGTAATTTATGGCCTTTGCATTCTGCCAATATCTCAGCATTGAAGAAATTCCCTGCTGCAGAATCGGCTGATCTAGTTTTGGAGTCAAGTGGGTGTGTAACCCGAAACACCGACAACCACATTGCTCTTTCTTGTGAGAAACTCGCGTCCCCTGCCAATAACCAGATCCTGCAAGTTGACTCTAACACACAGTTGAATGTTGGCTCAGTGTATCCCTTGTACTATAGTACCGTGTTCAACCTGAAGTCTCAACCTGAAGTTGAAGTCTCGAGGCCGGTCCACCAAGAATCCCAAAAATTCAATCCTGTAATTGTTGGTGTGCCAATATACTCATCAGTAGCCGAGCCTGCTGAAGTAGGGTGCATGCAGAATCTATCTTCCTGTGATGCAGACAAAAATGTTACAAATGGTAGCTCCCAAGCACTTTCTAGGGACAAAAACTGGATGGATCCTCGAATAGGGTGCGACTTGTCCTTGAGGTTGGGTTTGATTTCTGAGCCAAGCTTGAGCATGGGAAAGAGTTCTGAGTATGGAACTAATACTGGTCGGAGAGTTTCTCAAGATAGAGGCAAGCCTAGAGACAAGGAGTTTCCTTTCTTTCCTTTGGAGTCTGGTAATGATTTCTCCAGGTTGCATACAAGTAGATGGAATGCAGAGGGGGAAGGCCAAAATGTGGAAGATAGTAGAAAGCGTAAAATTTCGTCTATTGCCAATATGGACAATGAGCAATTTTTCTTGTCTCAGGACCCAACTTCTAACTGTTTTGCTGGTCGAATGAAAAGACCAGGTATGTAGACAAGCTTCTTTGTTGTATGATATAATATTTCATTTTGAGAAGTGGGGAAAATTTTTAAGATGCCTCTTTATATGTCTTGGAACCATTTTTGTTCTTCGCATCTGTTTTTTTGAAAGTATTTTATATTGTTGGTTAACTGAACATGCAGATTACCAAAAGTCCATAAATAACTAGATTTTACTAGGTTTCTGAAGATAGTATGATAACAAAAGAACTGAAGGTGCAAGATGCTATGATTAAAATTGTGTTTATTACAAGTTTTTTGTTCTCCATTGTTTTCTTTTTAAGCAAATTATAGAATGGTAATAGCTGATAGTGCAAATTGGTGAGCAACATTTGTTCTACAAGGAATGTTTTTGAAATCTTACATACCAACGATAAAACAAGATGCCAGATGTTCTTACAGTTGAATCCTTCATCTTGCTGGAATTACTTGAAATAACATGCCAAATTTATAACGAGAATGTGAGCCAAGACTTGTTTGGTGCACAATTAATGCAATGAGAAAATAAAAGTGCATAGATGCATGCATTCACTTGTTTCTAGATTGTCGGTCGTCGTAAAAGTACCTGTTGGAATGCAGGTAAACATTAGAAGAAAAGCAAACTTTGGATATTTACATTTATATGTTTCTTTTGCACATTGTGATTTACTGAGGTTAAATACCTTTTACCTGTTATTGAATGCAGGTAAACATTAAAAGAAAAGCGGAGTAAACTTTGGATATTTACATTTATATGTTTCTTTTGCACATTGTGATTGACTGAGGTTAAATATCTTTTCTAGATATGCATCAAACTCATTTCTGGTGGTATTATTTCCGGGTGGTACTTATCATACTTTTGTTGCCATTTCTCTGCATATTCAACTGATGTTTGTGCGGCCAAAATAGTGCATGAAATGTTCTGACTTTGTCGAGACCATCCTGATATCTTATTCTTATTGACCATATCATTTGCTTTTCAAGATAGTCTGCAATGTTTACATCCACAATTGGGTAAGATTATCATTACGTTAACGAATATTGCTGGTTGTACACTATGCTACATGCTATACAGCATGGTGTACAGCCCCCTCACATGAGGGGGGCCCACCATGAATAAAAAAAATCATGGGCCCCCTATTGTGAGTGGGCTGTACACCATACAAAGCATGGTGTACACATAGCAGGCCCTACGTTAACACTCCCAAGCAGCTGTAGTTGTGAGACATTTTAATTAGCGCCCATGATGGCATACAACACTGAATAGTGCATACCATACTGAGAAAGCAATTTACTGCTGAAATGGAAAGTAAAACTTGTCACTGTTCTCGATATAGATATTTATTGCTGGAATGATACTTCTAATGTTTGTCTGACCATTGAAGGAGCCTATTCTGGGCCATATTGCGTACTTTGGAAATATTTTGTCTTCTTTTCGTAATGAACGGCCTCTAAACTCTGGATTTTAATATTTTCTGTAAGTTATCATTTTTAAAGAATTCATGAAGTTTCATGTCTGAAAACCTACAAATACCATATTGAAATATTGATTGAGAAACAGTTGTTTTCAATTCATTCATTCATCCATTTATTTTATTCTATTAGTGGGGTCGGGGTCGATTGAGGTGTTATAATCCATGGACTTGATTTTTGCGAGTGTTCATATCACCCAGATCTTGCAATCTTATACCTAATCTTTAACGTTAACTAATAAAGATCAGAGAATCTTATACTGTCGTACAGTTTCATTTTACCATTAGTCATCACAAGTGCCCCTATAAAGTAGTTGCTTTATTTTATGTACTTCTACCGCTTGTCTTCTTGATTCATTTTTGTTGGTTAATGACATCATTTCTTTAGGTAAGCCGGTGTTTATTTGAGCCTTGATGTAGAAATGTTCTCTTGCTCAAGGGTTATACAGTTCATGTTAACGGTGAACTCATAGGGATTTTTCCTCTTATTCACAATGCTTGCGTATTACCACCTTTTATGCCACTAACATATAAATATACATAGAAACTCCAGCTTCTGGGAAATCAGAGGAAGATGAATCTACTAACTTTGGCATCCCAGTTTGCGAAAAGGTCCTACATTGTAAAGGTATCCCCAATCTTTGAAGAATTTCCGTGCTCTGTTTTCCTGTTATTAGTTATATTTTGATCGTGTTTATGTACATGTGCTTGAGCTCAAAAAAACAATCTGAGTTTATTTGAAACAGTTTAATACAATAGGATTGACAGAAAATTTATTTTTGCATGGAAAAAACCAATTTACATAAGACTCAACAAGGAGAAGAGAAGGGCCGGGAGAATCGCCATTAAGGCTCCGGTTTTAGGAGTCGAAGCTGATGCTTCGGTGCTTATGGTCACCTTCTGTCCCATACTGCAGTGTTTGCTGACAGTGCAGATGAAGTATGACTCGGTTGAATTGACAATGAAGCTTGAGGGGCTGGTTGTTTGGACTGGACTAAGAGCATTTGTTGAAGTGCAGTCATCATAGTTTTCTTTGGTAACTTGGACCACATTATGTGTGCTATTCCAGTTGAATACTGCAGAAAATTAGTGAAAAATTTAGCATGAAATGTCTTTCCCAAAAATATATGCCTTTAAATTAGTAATAGTAACAAATTAGCAGGAAATGAAGGGGATTAACAGGGTAGCTAGAGTGATTGAAACCATAAGGTATTTGGTTCAAGATTTTCACCATTTTGTATGTTATTCATTTCTTGTTTTTTCATTTATTTCTGAGTTAAAAAAATGCTAGTAATCCATCATTTTAACTTACTCAACTTTGCACATTGTCACGTTTGTTACTGTAGTTTAATTGGTTTCAAACTCATCATTTTTTGCAAAATACTTTATTTAGATCAGACCATCTATTCAATTTTACCTGTAAAATGTTCAGTTAAAAAATGGATGTCAAAGTAAATAAGTGGTTTCAACACATTATAGAACTTACAACTTATAAACACCTAAATTTTTATCAAACATTTCAACGACTAATGTAAAATAAAGTATAGTTTGGAGATCCGTTCATCATCTCATCGTGTTTATTCACGTATTGATTCAAAAAGAGAAAAGCTTACTTATAGTGTCTCCGATCTCAAAATCTTTCCTAGCTGCCCAAGTTCTGTAAGCAATATCCCCTGCTGGAGGTATAGTCCATCCAAGCTCGTCTCCGGCAGTGTACGTGCTGGCGGTCACAGCCGCGATAAGGGAGGCTACAGCTATAAACCACCCAACCAATTCAAATTTGTTTTCCATTTTCTACTAATTTTTGTGTGTTCTTTTCTTTTTTCTGCAGGTTAAAATCCATTTTTTCCTAAGAAATATAAATAGGAGGATACAAAAGTATGAGAATAACTGGTTCCCATATGCATAATGCATGGCATGAAAATATTCCTCGAGTGTGTTCATATTTTTCAAATATGGCGTCTGGACCCCAAATTCTTTGAAATTCCAGATTTTTTTTACCAATATTGGTTATCTTAGAAAAGCGATTATGCGGCTACGAAAGTTTCCCAAAAAGCTGATGCAAATGAAAACGCGTAGAAGGGGTCGGTTGGAGTAGGTGCGTGGGGGCGCCCAATAGATAAAGTAGATTGTTGTTAAACCCCCGTTTGGCCCATTTTCTAGAAATGAAAATGAGTGAAATAATATTTTTTTGAAAAATGAGTGGTTAAAAAAAAAGTTTTCGAATTATGTGTAATATTATTTTATTGAAGATTGTGATTGAAAATAGGAGAGAGAAAAATAAAATGTAATGAAATAGAAATTAATGGGGCCAAACGAGGGGGTAAGATTTTAGGTTCCATTTAAAATGTCAACCTTATTAAGATGAGTAGTCTAAATCCTTATAAATTGATATATATCTTTATTCGATATGAGATTTTTAATCTTTTAACATGCCTATTAGAGCTTAATGGGTCTAAATACCATTTAAGACTTGATGTTCTATCTTAAACGGTCCTCTTATTAAAAGGATTGGTCCAAATCCTTGTAAATTAGTTTATATTTTCATCTTTATTCAATGTATGATTTCGACATGACCTTTGAAAGTCAACAAAAAAAAAAAAAGGCAAAGTAAAAGTCATAGTAAACGGACTCTTATTATGTTTAATTAAATGTATAAATTATTATTTCGGAATTCATACTCGAAATAAGATCTTGTTTGATTGTGTTTCAAACAATTACTTATTATTAACTTGCATGAACATTCAATCATCCCAAAGTGAATAATTTTTGATAAAGTCAATATGAATTAATGTTAATCATAAAATTAAGAGCTTATTTGGTACAGCTTAAAAGCAAATTAAAATCATTTTTTTTTACTGTTATTTCACTATTTCAGTCGTCATTTTTGAATTCTTCTCTCACAAGTAGAACTCACTTTATTTCTAACGATCAAAAAATCAATCATCAAAATCCTTATCAAACAAATACTAACATAGAGAAAGTCGGTTAAATTCATGAGGTGCACCATCTAAAAGCTTAAAATGTAGCTTCAAAGATGATCGGGAAAAAAAAGTATGTTCAATCCATTCAAACCCCAGAAACTAATCTAGCCAGCTGTACCGTACCCCTGCTTTGCTAGGAGATAGATTTACGGGGACAAGAATCCGATAAAATTGCTTATAGTGCATTTGATAGGGTTTCTTGTAGAAGAGTTTCATCCGACTAATTTTCTCTAAAATATTCTACTAACTAAATAAAGTAATTTTTAAAAATTTGTTCAAACATATTATAAAACAATTTCTTAATGTCAAAAATAGTTTTGATCTTTTGGGACTATTCGATAATAATTATGAGAATTGATTTTTTGATCGTTAGAGAGAAAAATTGATCTTATTTGTGAGTGAAGAAGTAAAAAATGATAGCTGAAATAGTAAAATACGATAAAATTTTTTTTGAATTTTTTGAATGAAAAATTGCTACCAAACGGGGCTTTCCACAATTTGGCAACTGGCCCTTCTTTCCGTAAGTTGAAGTCCATCTTGCAAATTTTAATCGAAGGTTTGAAAACTAAATTGCGACTTTCCCAATGTGAAGTGCTAGATATTACGAAATCTTGGAAGAACCTTCTCACCAACTATTGAAAGAGGAAAAAGGCTATGTCTTTAATCTGCTTTTGACGTTAAGAAAAAGATTGAAAAGTGTGTCAATTGGTTACACACGTTATAGTCTACAAAAGACACTATTTTGCTTAATTTTTACATAAAATTGAATTTTTATAGGTTTAAATTCAACTTTGGCTACAATATTTTATGCTAAAGGGAATAATGCCAAAAAGATCTTCAAGAACGAAGACTTTTTCCTCATATATATAAATATATATATTCATTCTTCCAAAGACTTGGCGCGGAGAATTGGTTTATATTCTAAAAACGAGAAAGATATTTTCTCGATTTAGTTAACGACTAGACGAGCTGTCAGGGGCGAACCCAACGGGGGTCCCCTAAGGTCACTTGACCCTCCAATTTTTTCAAGCTTTTTTTTTTTTTCCACTATGAAATATCAAACGAAATTGAAATATTACATTATTAATATCATTTTGAAGTACTCATAGCCTAGCATTTTCATGTCGTTAACGTTGTGCTAAATGGTCAATCGTAGCAAATGTTATGACGCGTAAAAATAGGCAGTTTCAAACTAATATTTCGAGAATTTCGATAATAAGCTAACTTTAAAAAAATTTCGACGATTATACGCTAACCATATCCATAAATCTTCCATATCATTTCGAGAACTATATCATAAATTTATCAAATGATCTAAATAAATATCGAAAATAGTTAAATGTAGATCAAACGTGTATGCTAAAAGAAGACGTATAATAACTCGTCTTTTTTGAAAAAAATCAATTATTTTATTAATATTTATTATTTTTGCGCGAAAAGTTTCTCAATATAATTTACATCATTTTATTAGGAATTTTTATATGTGGTATGATGTCAGATTTTTTTTTTGACGTAAAAATTCTTAATAAAATTTTTATTACTTCATAGAGGTTATAAATTGTTATACTACTTTTTCATCTTGAATATTTTTATATTTGAAAAAAATTTATATATAAAAAATTCATTCATTTTTAGGATTTTTTTATTATTATTGTTATCTTTTTCTCTCGATCAATTAATTTTTTTTCAAATGACGTCAAAAATTTTATTAGGAAATTTATTAGATTATTTTTTAAAAAAATTAATTGATTGAGAGGAAAAAATAACAATAATAAAAAAAAAATCCTAAAAATGATCAAATTTATATATATATATATATATATATATAAATTTTAAATGTAAAAATAATTAAAGTGAAAAAGTAGTATAACAGTTTATAACCTATATAAAGAAAAAAAAATTTCGTCACTTTTTCTAAAAATTTGATTGTGACCACTTAACGTAAAATATCTTCGTCCGTCCCTGCGAGCTGCAATCTACGAAAATGAGAAAAGACATTGTGCCTATATGAGGAAAAGTGGTCTATTTTTACGTCTTCTATAGATTTTTCCCAAAAGAAATAAATAGAAGACTTAAAGAAAACACTTAGATCAGCTCTTTCTTTGATCTTGTGGTGCCATTAATTTAAAGTTGAAGATTTTAGTTTAATTTTCAAATCAAAGCCGTCTTCCAGAAGAGTTGTTTTTTTCATGTCTTAACTTAGAATTGGACGTTCAGACAAGAATCATTAAATAATTTTATTTCTATTTATTTTGATGACATTGACAAATGAAAGCTTGAATAGGAAAATTGTATGATAATTTTTCTTCAAGTCTTGCATTATTAAGGTGAAATTAAGTTTTATTATAGCATTAGATTCCATTAAATTTAAATGAGCAATTCGATCCAACTAAAACTCAAATAAACGCTTGAACTTCAATAAAATTAGTGTTCTTAAATGAGCCATCTGCACCTTACGAGCACTTTCAGGCAAAATTTTACATCAATTGAATATCAATTAATAAATAACATATAAGGATTTAGACTGCTATTCTTATCAAGGCATTACTGAGCCAAAAGGTCTTGGTAATGACACGAAGAAAGCCAAATATGAAAGGCATACATCCTACCCAATACTTTGTAACATAGAAATTTAGAAATGCAACAAGAGCTCGACCTGATCACAAAAATGAACCCCAGAACGATACGAACCTTTGCTCATTATCAATTTTCTCGATTTTTTTTAATGACATTTTTATCCTCAATCTTTCATTACTTCGTATTTTGCCAATATGTGCTTAGTAAACTCTTAACTTATTGTTGATAAGGCCAAAATGAACTGAAATTTCGATTTACTTTTTTCTTTATTGGTTGAAATACAAGAATTAATATGAAAATATAGATCAGTATTACAAATGAAATACAAAAATCTCTTTATTAGTATGATAATATAACAGTACAATACAACCAGAATAATGTAAAAATCATATAAAAATGAATCACACAAAATTGTGTACAACTATAATTCAATACAAGAAAGCCAAGGCAATGGACAACAAAGCGAATGGCAAGGCTGCAACACGGAAAGATGGTGGCGCTGCGCTGTCTGGTGGAGGAGGAGCGTTGAAAGGAGATGGTGACGTAGAAATACCGGGAGTGGTAGGACTGTCCGAACTGGGTGGAGGAGTGGTGGCGCTAGGTGGTGGGGTGGTGGTGGAGGAAGGTGTAGGGGCCGAGCTTGAAGGAGGTGTGGCGGAGTTGGCTCCCGTGACGTTGATGGCTAGCTTTTGGCCTAATGAACAGTGCTGAGGGAAGGTGCAAATGTAGAAATGTTCGCCGGCTGTGGTGAGGGTGATTCTAGCTGGGCTGGTGGTGATGGTGTTGGTGGCAGCCGAGCGGTTGCACGAGTCAAAACTTGCCTCCCTCATCTCAGCTACATTATGTGCTCCATTGTTGAAGTTAAAAACTGTATTACAAAAATTAAGACGCGTTAGATAAAATAAGTAACTAAGTACGTTTGACCAATTTTTAAATACAATGTAACAAAGATGCAGTGATAGTCTTACGTACCTAGAATGTCTCCGACCATGAATGTCTTGCCTCTAGCCCATGTTTCATATGCGATTGGACCACCAGGGGGGACAACCCAGCCAAGGTTATCTCCAACGGTATAAGTCGTTGGTGGTCTAGAAGGGGATGGTGCAGCCGCGGGCGTAGCTATCGGTGAAGGGGTCGTTGCTGGTGGTGGAGTTGTAGGTTGTGGTGTTGGAGCCGCTGAAGAAGCGGAGACATTGATGGCTAACTTCTGACCAAAGTCACAATGACTTGTAAAAGTGCAAATGAAGAAATGTTCCCCGGCAGATCTCAAAGTAATGTTTGTTGGGCCATTGGTAGACATGGAGATGGGTCTCGTGCCATTGCATGAATCAAAACCGGCCCTATTCACCTCGGCTACATCGTGCTGTCTTGTGGTGAAGTTAAACGCTACAAGATAATATAATAAGTCAGTTCATAAACCATATAAAAAATAATTGAGACATACAAAAAAATCGAATTGAATTAATTTATTATGCTATTAGTAATTACTAAGTATGTCTCCGACGACGAATGTTCTGGATGCTGCCCAAGTCCGATACGCTACTTCCCCACCAGGCGGTACAAGCCATCCCAAGGCATCACCAACTACATGTGTAGCTTGTCCCGACGAGCTTTGTAACATAGTAGCAGCAACTACTAATGCCATAAAGACGATCATGTTTGATATTTTTGTCATGATTACTATCGTGTTTTTGAATCTCAGGTCGCCCCGTTCTTTCTTGCTCGAACTCCTTCCTTTCTCTATCAAGATCGGAATCTAAATTCAATCCTGTATTGTTTGTATCAATAGCTACAAATAAAACTTGTCACCTCAAGTGGGCTGCTGGTAATGGTATGATTACCAGTTTCCTTCTATTTATAGGAAACCAACATATAGCCTATAATGCCCGTGATCAAATTTTGAGTATTTTAAATCCCAACAAATGTGTGACACGTAGACGAAGTTTGACTATTTACACTATACAAAGTCAATTTGAACCAGTGTGAAATGAAGTGGGACCCAGTGGGTCTATAAAAACTACCGTGTTTTTCTAGGACTTCCAGAATGTTAATAAATTAACGTGTGAAGCCGTGATTCTTAAATCCACAATCTTTGAATGCTCCATCATTGACTTAGTCAACAATTCGATTTGTTAAAATTTTATTGGTGAAATAGAGGAAATTTTGGAGATAGTCATAGGCCCAACCAAATTTCTAGATCTTTTCAAATTTAATTTTTATATATCATTAATTTTTTAAATTTACTTTTCTAGAAACAAATATCTATCAATGATCCCATAACATTAATGTGATATTAGACGAGTTTATTCAATGATAATTCTTATGAAAACTGATGGATTTTGATCCTATTTGCATTTCTTAAGTTGAAATTAAATCTCACCAGAATTTTAAACTTTACATTTCAAAATTAAGATTTACAAGTTTTATTTTCATTCTTTTCGGCTTCTCTCTTCTTTCTCTATCCCACCTTCTCTCTCTAACCGTCCGCTGCCACCACCTTGCCAACACCACCACCCTGTCGGCTTCACCACCGTTGGCACCACCTCGCCATCACCACACTCAACCACCTCACCTCACCTCACCACAACCACCACGCCCACCACACCCACCAAAAAATCTCCAAACCTGCAATCGTACCGGATGAAATAAAAATTTGTGACTAATAAATAAATTATGATTAATATATGACCTAAAAACTTGAGTTGTAATTTATAAATTTTATAATTTGTGACCAATAAATAAATTATGGCCCATAAAATTTTTAATTTTTGATTCATGAATAAATTGTGACCTATAAAATTTTTGGTTTGTGACTGTGAAATTATTTTTTAATCTATAAAAATTTTGATTTGTGATGAATTGATTTAAGAATTTGAGACCAAATTGTATAGAATTGTGACCTTAATATATTGAATTAATAAAATATTTTTTTAACTAATGATTTCATAAATAAAATTTAATAATATATGATTTTTAAAGTTTTAGATATTGTTTCCTAATTTTGAAATGGATTATAGTTAATCTCTTGGATATAAAAATTTCCCATTTCTTAATGAAAGCTCGAAGTCACCATTGGATTGTTTTGAAATCAAGAATTTTTTTTAGATGATTTTAATGATTCATGTCGACTTCACATGATGGAATGTCACCATTTAATATTCATAGACTCCCACGCATTACTTGCTCGTTCCCCAATTTATTCTCTACAAACATCTTCCATTAGCGGGGACATGAGTATCCAACTAAAGAAATTCAATTAGCTTTTTTCTTTTTCAAAATTAAGCAAAGAAATAAAGGTTTCACATTTGAATGTTTTTCACTTTTTTGTGTGAATTTTTCTACTATTTTTCCCTCTCTAAATTTTATTTAAGGAGCGTAATGTAAATGACGGCTATTGAAATAGAATATAAAGTTGATTTTGCAGAAATAGTTATTGTTGAAAATTTCATTTAAAGATTTAAGCTGTTAGTGTACAATATTTTTGAAAGAATAATTGCAATACAATTTTCCCCTTCTATTGAGCTGGCAATTTTGAATTTAGTGGGCAAGTGCAAAATACCTAACACCACGGGCACCGTCCGGAATCAAACGTCTCCCCTCTTTTGAAGAGACTACAATGAAGAATAGGAAAGCCAGGCGAATCTCTTTCCCATTAAAACATTTTTATAAGAATGTTTTGAATTAAATTTATTTTTTCATATTTGCAATATACGATTTCTAATATCTTAAACTTTTAGTTTTGATGATTGGATACAGAAACATTGACATTGAAAAAAACAAATGAGTAGCAAAATTGTCACAATTATGTTACATTAACATTAAGGTTGATATAATTTCGCGCCGCATTTTATCATTAGACAATTTAAAATATAGTCGACTTTTTCATCAAATTATTAGTTGCCACATGCAATTATATCAAGTTTTTTCTCAAATCATTCTGACAAAGAAGTTGAATGTGTTTTAAATTGTCCAATGATAAAATGTTACGTGACATTATGTGCCTGTTTCTTACGGATTAAAAACCAATTAAAACTAATTTTTTGACCGTTATTTCACTATTTCAACCGTCATTTTTGAATTCTTCTCGCACTCACTTTATTTCTAACGGTAAAAAATTTAATTATCAAAATATCTATCAAACAAGCTCTGATATGTCAAACTTTATGTCAACCTTGATGTTAATGTAACATGATTAAAATTGCCAACCACTCGAGACTAGATCACAAGTATTTAAGTGATCAATTATCCTATTTGTACATCACTTTTTTCACACTTCTCTCACAAAGGTGGGGTCCATGATTATTTTAATCATGGACCCCACTCACTTGTATGTTTGTGCGCTGTAAAAATTGATGTGAAAATAAATGTACAAATAGAATGGTCCTTAAGTGATTGGACGAGGTAATAACTCCTTTTGATTTACCCGCACCTAATCACTCTGACCAACTTTTGTTATCGTCTCGAACCCTGATTTTGACTTGATCGTCGGTTGGTGGTTGTTTGAACGCCTCCACTCGATTCTACTCTTGGAATTTTGATGACAGATATAAGTTTCTACTAAAATGATATTCCAGGATTTATTACAAATCAAAGTAGTTTATTTTCCACAATCCACAAACAATGGTCCTATCACAATCAACAGACAAATGCAAACATCAAGAAGACACTACATACGACAAGTCTAAATAGCGATCCAAATGGCGATCGATGCAAATATGACGAAAGAAGTGGCAATAGTGCTCGTTGGGGCGGAGTTGGGAGGTGGTGGACTGGATCCCGGGGGCGATGCACCCGGTGGTGCTGGTGGTGACGGAGGGGTTGCACCTTCCCCAGGCGGTGGAGCCGGTGTTGATTCTGGTGATGGTGGAGGAGATGTCCCTCCAGTCGGTGTAGGCCCTGGTGCTGGCGCGCCTGGAGGAGTGATGTTGGGAGTTGGTGCCGGCGCCGGTGCTGGTACTGGTACTCCAGGTGGAGAGATTCTTGGAGCTGGTGCTGGTACTGGTACTGCAGGTGGAGTGATTCCGGGAGCTGGTGCCGGTGCTGGCGGAGTTGGACTAGGCGCCGGAGATGATGCGGCTGAAACATTGATCGCTAACTTCTGTCCGTTGGCACAATGCTGACCGAATGTGCAGATGAAGTGAGCCTCGCCGGGGGAGTCGAGTGTAACATTGGCTGGACCGACAGTTATTAGGGAGGTGGGATTGCTCGGGCTGCAATTATCAAAAGCTGCCTTTGTTACCCTGGCCACATCATGGATTCCAGTGCTAAAATTGAACACTGCAAATGTTATTAGTAAATCATCAAATGTCAAGAGACATAATCGACCCAATATCCTAACAGACCAAATTCTCAGACATCAAAGATTCCAATATCCCAAATCGCAGCTAACATCTTTTTATGTTCAGGTTCTGCTACCCAAAATCTTGAATTTTGTATCGAGATTGAGCTACATGATAAGGTCGAGTGAAGTTCCGTTAACGATAACCGATTCTTGTTTGTAGTATGGTTTAATCCCACGAATTCACTATGAATTTGACATAAGAAAGAAGTTAAAATCTTGTATATTGTACGGTTTAAATCCCGTGTACCGAACAATCCTTATAGTGTTGGGCAACAATGCAAAACCAAGAATCTTTTATGCACCTAATAAACCAAATTCTTCTTGTGTTTGGTTTTTGGGTTCTTGTCTTATGAATGACATAAAACTACACATACAAAACATTTTCGAAGAATCAGAATTCACTATGAATTTGACATAAGAAAGAAGTTAAAATCTTGTATATTGTACGGTTTAAATCCCGTGTACCGAACAATCCTTATAGTGTTGGGCAACAATGCAAAACCAAGAATCTTTTATGCACCTAATAAACCAAATTCTTCTTGTGTTTGGTTTTTGGGTTCTTGTCTTATGAATGACATAAAACTACACATACAAAACATTTTCGAAGAATCAGAACAGAAAATTGAAGTTCTAATGGTAGAACTCTGAAATTTGCTACATAAAAAGAGATCAATAAGTTAAATCTAAAACCAATACCATCAGCAAATCCCCCACCATAAAAGAATTCCACTTTCCAGCACTTTATCTCAATTTTTCTATGTAAACTGTTGATTCGACGCTGTCATCTATTTACAAAAACTGTGCTTGAAATAAAAAGCCCTTTTTTTTTTTTTTTAAATGAAAGTTCAAATCGAAATTTACCTAGAACATCTCCAGTTCTGAAAACATGTTGTGAAGCCCAGGAGGTGTAGGCACTGGCACCCCCAGGAGGGATAGTCCACCCCAAACTGTCTCCAACAATATATGTGGCTGCATCTCCTTTTTCTACCACTGCACAAATCCCCACCAAAACTGCAAAAACAATCACAAATTTGATGTTTCTGCCCATTTTTTCAGGCAAAAAGTCTGTGTTTTCAGGTCTCCCCTGGCTCTGTATCTTCTATATCTGTGTTTTTTCGGCAAGATTCCAAGAATTCAGTTCCCAAAATTGCAGACACAGTACAGAATATAAACATATATCTTGGGAAATTTCCAGAGGCCTTTATAGATGAATGAGTTTATCAGTTGTTAATGAGGAGTCGCTAAATTGACTTTCTCATCACTACGCATATCAATGGGATGTGAGGAAAAGTCTTGGTCAAGTAAGATGGCATGTGGCGGTGTATGGCTATCATTAATTGGTCCAAGTCTCGTGTCATGTAGTCGTATTTGAGTTTAGAATTATGAATAGGTCATCGTTGATAAGATTGCGAAAGGTGAAGATTGGATAAAAGGATATGACCTAATATTGGATAGAGAAGATTGGATCGCCATGCCCGAAACCCCACTTCATATTCGCGATGTTGTTTAGCCCTAAATTCATGTAAAAAAGGATCTTAAGGTTGGACTTCTCAACATTTCACTTTATATGTTTACGAGTTTTTGAACTTTAAAAGTCAGGTTGCGAGCCCCTAATTTATTTAAATTTGAGTTTTTGAGTGATTGAGATCGTCAATGTGGGCGTAAAATTCGTATGCAATTTTCAAACTTGGAGCGAAATATTAAGCTCTTGTTTGACAATCATTATTTGAGTAAAATTGAGATTTGAATAGTGATTTTTTGAAGAATATTTTGGATTTATGTGCAGAATATTTTATTGTCAATGTAAGTTTAAAAATAAGTATGTAAATAATAAAAAAAATAAAAAAAATTGAAATAGTGATGGTCAAATATAGCCTAAGTTGTCTGCCGTCTAGCTTGAAAACATGTGAAAGTTATGTGGCAATTTTAAGATCCAGATCAACCTTACTTTACCCCAAATATTTCGTCATAAATATGTATCATGACGTCAAATTGATTATTGGGCAGCACGTAGAACATCAACTTTTATTGATTATGTCTTGTAAGTGTTCATAAACAAATAAAAATGAATGATCGAAAAGTAAGTGATCCTTGTGGATTCAATGAAATAATTAAACTTATTTATCCCCTATTCGGTCAGCGTAAAAATGATAAAAATCTAAATTCATGTCGACAATGAATTTTAACTGTTCATTTCATGAGATTCATAATTTTTATTAATTTTTTAATTATATATTTAAGCTTGGTTTGGTACTTATTATTTTTAAAATGCATTTTTCTCTCTTATTTTTTTACCACATTCTTCAATAAAATAATATTACAAACAAATTCAAAAATTTCTAATAAAATACTATTTCAAAATGCATTTTAAACAATAAAATGGGACTCAAAATGCGCCTAACTTTCAGCTAAACCAAACAAAAGACACAGTTATATGCCGTTTACCAAACTTGGAATTAGGTGGTGGAGTTATTATGTGGAGGAAGTTGCATAGGAAGGCCACATTGGAGTAGATATATGACACTGTCACAGCCTTGACCACTGTTTTTGGCTCAATAGAATATTTGTATCCCACAAATTATTAAAAAAAAAAAAAAAATCTGTTCAAAATATGTTATATATTCATGCTTTTGAACTTGTATTGGCATCTCCAATGATGCTCTACAATATATCTAATAGTTGTGTTATGTGTACAATCAGAGTTGACAATATGACAATCCCGATTGACAATTAGACACATGAAAGGGGTCCACATGGAATAAAAAATAGTAGGTTCCCCTCCTGTGAGTACATTATCAATCGAGGTTGTCAACCCGAGTTGTACAAGAAGAAGAATTCTTACATTTTTGACAAAAAGATATTAAAAAAAAAAAAGGTGAACTTTTACATCCACTCCACTCGTGGGACTAACTCCACTCAAAAAATAACAATTTCTTTTTTTCTTTTTTAATGAGCCTTTGAAGCAGGATTTAACGGATCAGGAAAAAAATAAAATTTATATATTATAATTTACATCTTTCCATTGAAGTAGGATTTAGATTTAAATCTACCGGAATGTAAATGGGAATGCAAAAGTAATTTTGAAAATACAAATTTACATCATTATTGAAGATGCTCTATTTAACTACATTTTGAAACAAAAGGGAATAAGTTTTTCTCTTATCTTTTGAACATTGTTTTTCAACTTTACACTAAAAAGGAGGAATCACATTCTGCACTCTAAAAGAAGAATATAGAAACACGTATGGTTAAAGAAAAACATAGAAAATATTCATTAGTTGTCATGATAAAGTCAACTTCTACTTCTATTCAATTCAATGAGTTAAAAATAAAAATTAGACATATAAAAATGTATTTTGTTGTTCAATCAAAAATTCCCACGATCCTTGAGCTTGATTGCAACAATCTATTCCTGGTGTCACTCATGAGCTCTTTAGTTTGATATCAAGAATGAGTTCGTCACTAAAGTCAAAGCAAAAATCCGAAAAATTATGTTACGATTACTTTGTTCTTCGTAGATGTTAAACCCTAAATCTAGCCATCACTCCATAGTTGCTGATGGCATCCTCACAACATTTGAGATATTCAAATTATGTTCATGTTTGGTCCATGTTTCTTTAAAGAGTTTTGCTGTTTTACCAGATAGGGGTTCTGCCTCTTCCGACCCTCACGGCAGGAAAAATTGGCCAAAAACCCATCCCCCCATGTTGTGAGTGCTCAGTGAACCCCTACCCTATGACTCAAGCATCACCGTTTGTAAAACTCATTTTCTCCTAATTCATTTTTAATCCATAACTGTTATCAACCTTTTAATTACGTATTTCATAACTTTTATCAAAATTTACAAAATAATAATAATAATAATAATAATAATGATAAAAAAATTAAAAAAAATCAGATATTTATCAAAACCAAATAAGGGCTATATTTTGTCTAGTGCAAATAATTTAATTCAAACATAAGATTTGCTATCCAGGGATAACCCTCAAGCATTTTCCATTATTTCAAATTTTGGATAAGGTCCTACATCCTATAGACAATTAGATAGTACTAAACAATATTAGATAAAAAAAAGTAAAAATTTAGTCAATTATACATGTTACACTAATATTTTACGAGTTATACACGTAACAATACAAAGTCCTACTAAAGCTGACTATGCAACCAATTTTCACTTTACAAGGCCTTTGAGCCAACCACACACGATAGCATTGTAATCTTGCGATTTGATTCTATAGTTAGACCAACTCCTTACAGATCAATACAAACTTATACAGATTGAAAGAAAAAATAACCCTTCATACCAACACGACTAGTGGCAACTACATGACTCCTAATATCGACAAAACACTTGATCATGACATTATCCCTCTACATATACATTGACCATTAGGCAATTTTTATTTTCTCTCGTCTTCTTACTATTCTAATTGTAATGTTGAAGTGGGAACGGTTGTTTTCCTCACAGAGGGTGGTTGGATTACTATTACTATTACTATTACTATTACTATTACTATTACTATTACTATTACTATTATTATTATTATTATTATTATTATTATTTGTTTTACTAAATAATCAATTTCAGTAAATAAAATGAAATATAACAAATTTTCAAAAGCAAACCAAACGACAAGATTTTAAACTTTGACAATGTTAATCTCATAGGCAACGGTTTTGGATTACCTACATGTCTAATCCATTTACTCATTTATTTTTTTCAATATTATGTTTCTAAATATAATTTAAGTTCAAAAATTTCATAGAAATAATAAGATATGGAGGTGTAAAGTAGGCCGGGCCAGAGACCATCCAGCCCGATCCATCTGCTTTTGCAAAGGTCCAGCACCAAGGTGCCCATTGAAGTGCGAAAACCTGCAAGGTCTGCAGGCACAGGCCGCGCCATGGTGGGAGCTGGAGGGTCACAGGCCACCGGCATGGACACCAGCCGGCCAGCCTATCCAGACAGGCAGCCCTATCGATGCCTCTAACCGTACCCCGTTAACCGGGGGATGCCTCACTAGGAAGGTTGATAAACCAACATGACAAGAGTCAAGAGTAATGGTACATTGGTACAAAACAAAGAAAAACTAATACACTTCAAAGCCAAGAAAACAAAGAACACATAAACCAGCAAAAGATTTATTTCAGATAAATAGATACACATTGCTGAGATAAGTAAAAATAATCAGCAACTTATAATGATAAGAGTACACTGAAATGACAATGTATTTTCCTAAGCACTGAAAGTGCAATTTGGATGGTATCCTACCTATCACTGCAAGGGTCCTTATTGAATATAGCAGAGCATTTGAAGTCATAATCTTAAAAGCAAAAGTAAGACTGAAGCTGAAACTGCGAATACCGATAAATGGGATCCAAGCAACATTTGAGCTCGAAATTCCTGAAATATTGAATATTTACAAAGTGAATAAGTGAAAAATTGAGATATAGACAAGACAAATGATAATAGAATTACAAAAATGCAAAACACGAGCACACATACTTAATCCATCATCCATAATCTCCGATTACAAAAACCTACAAGCTTGTTTCTGAAAATGCAAAATGAGCATGTATGTTTGGCTAAGCCTAAAGAAAGTAAAATTAAGTTTTAAGCCTAAATATATTTCGTTAAGCTCAAAAACTACTTTTAAGTACTTTTACTTGGTTTTCGACATGCCAAACATGATTTTATATCCCTCATTAAAGAATCTAATGATATGTTTATGGAATAAGCTTTGACCTCTCTGTCCTTGCTTATAAGAATAACTAGTACAATCAATTGCTAGTTTTTGTACAGTATCTCACAGATCCAATGCAGCTGATTCAATCTTCTATTAAATACATTGTCCCGTGTGACAACTCGCCGTTCAGCTTTTTACATTTTTTTTTTTTTTTCAATTTACAGGCATACTATCATTTTCTCTTTCTCAGTGTGATCAAACTGTAGGGATATGCAGTGAAATTGAATGAGGTAACATAAATGTGCGTGCTTGTGTTAGCAGTTATATTCACGCAAACCACCCGAAGTAACACACTTCAGATAAAATCAACTCTAAAATTGATAATTGCTGTCACATTTAGTCCAAGATTATACTACTAAAATCGGAGGGGAAATAGGGGGGAGCTCTTTTTTTTTTCCCCCCATATGGTAAAAAAAAAATTATGGAATTTTTTTTCTTGTGTATTAATCCAGTGAAAAAAAAATTTGTGTCCTCCCCTAGCTCCGCCTTTGACTATAATAATACATGTCATCATACACACTTCCCAAAAAAACACAATAATTTAAGACCTGCACGTTTATCTAGATAAGTTGATCTACCAATTAATGGAGAAAATCTTCAATACGGCGGTCGCACCAATGCCAAGGAGCCACCTTGGCGGGTGGCCCACACACCTTGGGAGTGTGTGGTGGGCCACTTGCCGAGGTGGCCCTCCCTAATAGGGTGGTCGCATTGCCATGAAGATTTTCTCCAATTAATGATGCATAATTTCTGTAGTCAATGAATTCTTTCCCCAACGAATGAAATATTAAGGGCCCGTTTGGTAAGAATTTTGAGAATTGATTTATTGACCGTTAGAAGAAAAGCAGGGTCCACATGTGAAAGAAGAAGCCAAAAATTACGGCTTGAATAGTAAAATAACGATAAAAAAATCAATTTTTTGGGGCAAAAAATCCCTACCAAACGGGGCCTAAATACCTACTATGCACACATGGTGAAACCTCAACCTCCAAGCAGTCAAGCACCAAATGTTACTGAAATTCGCAATTAGGGAAAATGTTTCAAGCGTACTCATCATGAGGAGGGATGGCCACCAAATTTTGTTAATCCTTCATTAGATGCTTATATAGCATGATTTCACATGCAGTCATGGAAACTCAGCAGAGAGGCAATAAGATGCTATTGAAAATGTTAAAAAACGTCACAAGAAAAACTCTCTCAAACTATGATGAATTTTCTTTCTCTTTTGCTAAAATATGATGTGCATCCCTTAATCAATGTGGATTGAAAAGCAAAGCAAATCTTAAGACCAACTCTGCAAGGATGATGGACCAATCTAACCCATTGCAATAAACATGTCATATCAGACGCTTTTCGTATGTAATTTGATTACGGGCTAAATTTTACGTATGTCCTCCAATACCCACAAATCATACTATTGCTTAGTTTCTCTTCCTTGGCAGCTTTCACTAATCGTTCAATATTGATCTTCTCTTCCTTATCTCCTAAATTATTTCTCACTCCCCTACGTACAACTCTTCATTTCACCTCTTCTTGAACCTTTTTAAACATTGGTAAGTTGATCATCAGTCTCATGCCAGTCAAGTAGAACTTGTAAGTTATAAAACTTATGGGTGCATGCTTCAAAACTAAGGTACCCGTTGACGCAAACTATGGAATCATTCATACAAAGCAATCATATAAAAATCCAGAAAAAATGCTTTTTTAGTGTGCGCGCTTCACTGATTCCCAAGTGTGAATGTTCACTAGAAGTATTTTTTGCTCTTCTAGCACAGGCTTCCACTTAAAATAACTAAACAAAGTTGCTTCCCAATCAAGAAAAATCTTTTGAGTGCTTACATAGAAATATAAAAAATTATAAATTCGAACTCCGAAATTGAGTTATAGATCTCTGGCTAACAGCTCTTCAAATCCACTAAACTCAGATTGGCAAGGCAAATTAGGATTGATAGCTGCTTTGGTACCAAAATTGATGAAGGAACAAAGTTTAACCAACAATAATTAAAACATTGATTGAAAGAACTAAAGAGATATTAGTGAATATAAAAATAAGCACCAGAGATGAAGTTCTCCAATTTGATATTTTTGTTGGAACAATCAAGGCCTATTTTTTATGGGCACTTCAAACCTTAAGGACTCCAAAACCTGTTCTAACTATAGGAAAGCTTAAAACACTAGGAAAAGTAATCCTAATTCTAGTCAGAATCCTGAAAGAAAGACTAACTTAAGAGTCCTCATATAATCTAATCCCTAAATAAGAATACTAGTATAAGTAAGGATTAGAAGAAGAGCTGTAAATAATGTACACGCACATCTCAACATGAACGAGACAGCAGCAGCAGGTACGTAACTGATCCAATTTTCAGTCACCCCAAACAGAGTCTAACAGGCCAGAATAAGAAACAGAGTATCATATTTTCCAGATGCATCAGCTGGAGCACTTCCCGAAGCTGTATACATACAAGTTCTCTATGATGCATCGTGTTGTGTTGGTCATGTTGACACACGGTTTTTTAAAAAATGCTGACACGATACGTTGATTAAATTCTTTATAATTCTTCATTTATATAGTATATATTTAGTTTTATACTTGTTATAAAATTTTCTTTTCGAAATCTTTTAAATAAGAGTATCTATATGTCATTTGATAAAAACTTTGAGTTAACAATATTAAATATTTTTGATAAAGAAAAAAATGATCATGGTAGAGTGTTCGGAGAGTGTCGGTATCCGACATACTAACACGTTGGACACAACATGCTAGTTGAAGTGTAAATGCAACACATCAAGTTTTTTGCCCCTTTGAAGCTAAAGAAGAAAAAAAATACTAGTATGACTGAAAGCAAATTAGTCGTGTTTTGGTGTGTAGAGAAGGGGAAAATACTACAAAGCAGGAGATAATAGAAAATCTCTGCGATTGCAAAAAGCCAAACTTTTGTTTCCAATCACATATTCTTTCTTCTTTTCCAACTCCCATTAGTATATGCTGGAATATGAATTCGTAGTATGAGAAACAAAGTCCTTCCACATGCTATGTGATTGCAAATCCTCAATTCAAACACCAAACCGCACAAAAAAACATATACACTCCTATTATTTAAGGAGGTAAAGGATAAGTAGGAAAAAAAACACTCCAAGCTGAGATATCAAACGAGTCTAGTTATTCTCTATTCAGTTCATAATGCATCAAAATGTTCTACACTTGTGTCACCTCTAGTAAACAAGGAGCAAAAGAATATCATTTTCTTTTTCATGTTCCATAAGCAGCAGAAAGCCAAAGAGTATTCAGGGACTTAATGAGCCATATATTCTTCATAAAATCAAATTAGCAAGTTTTCAGCTGATTATGATAAGTGTTTAGGAGAGATTTCTCTGTTTTAGACTTCATGGCATCGTGGCAAGAGAAGCATCTCCTTGTGATACATATGAGAAACTTTTAGACTTAAGTGTTGCATTTGGAACCAATCTAAATTATTAAAAATGTAAACCAATAAGTCAAGGATGGAATCAGAATTCCAATATGGAAGCTTTTATAAATGCCGAACTACTACAAATATTTATTCTTTAATTTTCAGGTATTCCATGTTCTTTCAATTTTTTATCAATAAGTGAACCTCACTTCCTTACACCTCCTGTGCTTCATGATATTAGCATGTAGTTCTTCATAAACACATGCACGATCAAGTCTTCACATTATTTCTCTACTTTTATTCTTGAGGTTAATTTTTGTGAACTTGCTTAGAATCCATTTTTTACCCCAAGAATTTTGCATGAAAGGATGCCAATATATCGGCCTACTTTGAGTAAGGGCAAATAAGAGTTTATTCTCCTAACTTAAGACTTTCGATAACAATTACTAACACCCACGATTGAAAACATATTAAAGGGGAGATATCACTCACATGTCACAAGCTGAACCACATGTAGGAAAAAAATCTTGTCATTAGAGCCTAGCATGTCCAAATATTTAATGCGTGGTAGCAAGACTTAAATACTTGTCTTCTCTAGCTATGATGTAAATTACCAACTAGAAAATTAAGCAGTAAAGTAGACATAGAAGGCAATATTAATATTCTAATTAATATCTCTATAAGCATAATCCACAAAGAACTCATTAGCCTGACATAATCTAGAAAAGAATGGGTTGAAATACCTTGAAGGACAAAAAAGAAGACGAAGCTGATGAAGATTTAAGTCCTTGAAACCCAATGTCATAGGAGATACTCCCATCGGCTTTAAACAGTCCATAGTTTTTCTCAGAAAGTGCACCAGGTTTCGAATTCTCATTGAACAATGCAAATATATAGGCTTTCAACTTCCTCTTTGGCCTCAGTGGAGTACCTTTCCTCTGGGCTAGCCTTTTACGCAAATTATAATTATACATCCCTGCATTTTTTGGTGTAGCAGCAGGTTCGTTCTGGTCCCCATGAGAAGCCCAACCTGTCTCCGTAATAATAACTTCCATATTTTTAAATCCAGCATTCTCCAAAGCAACATAAGCTGCATCAATCTGAGCATCGAGCAGATTATCATAATGAAGATCAGTTTTCTCATCGTCTATTCCCTCATTTTTCTGAAAGAGAGCATAATTTATGTCAATTTTGTCTGGGTTATATGTGTAAGCCAGGAAGGGATAAGCATTTAGACAGAAAGGGGACCCAATTTGAGAGAAGAACTCCAAAAGAGGCTTCATCAGTTGAGCAACACCATCTTTGAAAATACACGAAGAGGGAGGAAATGAATTTGCAAAAACAGCCTGAGAATGTGCAGTCGTAATCTGAACTGAATCATCTATCCCAAGCTTTTTTGTGGCATTGTGAATATTTTTTACGGCACCCAATAAAGCTACCGCGAGGTCATAATCACTTCCTCCTAAAACTTCATTCCCCACAGCAATCCCAACGATGTTTGTATCTGGGAGAAATGCCATAACATTATCTTTCACCCAAGTCAGAGCATGATCTGCATTTGCGCTCATCTCTTTCACAAATTCGTTTGGAAGTCCAACCACCAACTCAAGCCCAGTCCCTTTAAAGGCCTTAAGAACACTCTGTTCTGCATTGTAAATTCTAACATTCTTTATTTTTGCGGCCCTAAGCAATGTCACAACTTCATCTGGTGAAGGGATGTTATCTGCAATTCTACCATAATTGATTCCATAAGTCCCAGTGAATGCTCTTGCCATTCTTTGTGCTGGGGAAAATAGCAAAGAAACTGAGAATTGGCAAACTACATGTTTTTTGCAGATTAAACCATTTCAATAAAATATATATATATATAGATATTCAAAACAGCAGAAGCACTAAATTGTACACACACAATAAGATTCATATTGGGTATATTAGAGTTCAAACTTCAGCCCCAACTCCAGCAAGTTCCAGCTCTAGCAGCTCAAGCTCTAGCTCACCATGTGCTTAACATGTTGTAACTAATATTGGCGCCAATTGTATAGATGCTAGATGTCAATTAGTTGTCATACAGCTGTAATAGTTAGTTAGAATCCTTTTGTATTTTTATGGACAAATGTATCATTTCACCGATTGATCATATATGAAAATTCTTTGCATCCTTAAATATGGTATCAGAGCACTCATTAATTCTTCCCTGCAAATTCTGATTTCGAGTTGATTCAATAGCCTGATCAATAGATGGCTACAGAAGTTCCAACTCAATCTGTTCATGACTCTGCATAATCAATAAGCAGTTCCTCACTTGATGGATCGAGTCCATATTTTCTTTACCACTCACACAGCCCTGGTTTGGTGCTCGTTTCATAGCCTTTAACAGGGGACAATTATGCATCTTGCAGTTGTGCTATGGTCATAGCTCTATCTGTAAAGAACAAGTTGGGATTTGTTGATGAATTTATTATAAGGCGAGACAGATCTGATGATATGCTCAATTCATGGATCTGCAGCACGATCTTCTCAATGTTGCTCGTGCCTTATTCTTCCAATCCAGTGTCTATAATCAATTCTAGGGATAGTGCATCCTCACAGCCACCTATCTAATCGATAGAACCCCATCACCAGTTTTACAAAACATAATCCCTTTTGTCTGTCTTTACAAGTCTCCAGTTAACTATAATGTTCCTAGGACATTTGGCAGCCTTTGCTGTGCTTCCACATTGCTCTCCCACAGAACAAAATTCCATCCTAGAGCCCAGGCATGTTTGCTGGTTACCCTCCAACTGTTAAAGGGTACAAGTTATATGATATTGAATCTAAATCATTCTTTATCTCAAGGAATGTTGAATTTCATGAACGCATTTTTCCCTTCCAATCCGCTCCTCGTACGACTGCTATCATCGACCCATTTCCTGACACTCTTTCACCAAGAATTTGTCATGACTTACCCTCTGATCATCCAGATACAAATTCCTCATGTCATATCAATCATAATGATATCCACAATGACACTGGTTCTTCTTATATTCATGGACCACAGACTGTTTTACATCAAGAATCAAATTTTGTTCACCCTCTTTTACCTATGCCTAGAAAAAGCAACCGAATGCACAAAGCTCCTTCTTACCTTAGGGACTACCATTGCAACCTAATAACCAACAACTCACCTTCTCAGCATAACTCCCTATACCCTTTATGCAAATCCTTGTCCTATAAAGCTTTTTCTTCATCACATTATTCTCTTCTCTTTAATATATCATCCACCTTTGACCCACAGTTTATCATCAAGCAGTGAAGCATGATCATTGGAAAAAGGCTATGAATGATGAATTGGAAGCCATGGAAGCTAACCACACTTGGTCTATCACCACTTTACCTAAGGACAAACATTCCATAGGTTACAGGTGGGTATATAAAATCAAGTTCAAGTCTAATGGCAGCATAGATGGTATAAATCCTGCTTAGTAGCTAAAGGCTACACTCAACAAGAAGGATTGGATTATATTGAGACTTTCTCTCCAGTTGCAAAATTGGTTAAAGTCAAAACTCTTCTCGCGGTTGCTGTTGTCAAACAATGGCATCTTGTTCAATTGGATGTGAACCATGCATTTCTTAATGGAGATCTCTTTGAGGAAATTTACACGGATCTACCTATGGGCTACCCTAAGCAGCATATTGGTGGTTCTCAAGGGAAGAAACTAGTGTGCAAACTTCATAAATCGATCTATGGCCTTAAACAAGCATATAGGCAATGGTTCTCCAAGTTCTCTCAAGCTCTCCTAATGCATGGCTTTCAGCAATCTAAGAATTATTCACTATTTACGAAGGGAACTGGTGATTCTTTTATTGCTTTGTTGGTTTACATCGATGATATTATCATCACAGAATCAGATAGGAAAGTAATTGATTCTTTAAAAGCTTTCTTACTAAATTGAATGACCTTGAAAAATTAAAGTACTTTCTTGATTTGGAGATAGCTGGATCACAAAGAGGCATTAATCTCTCTCAGAGGCACTACACTTGACAACTTCTTGAAGATATTGGATTTTTGGCTAGCAAACCAGCTCAATTACCAATGGATCCTAAGGCTCGTCTAAATTCATTTGAAGGAAAACTTCTTGATGATGCATATAGAGCATGAAAGAGACATATCATTTCATTTTGTATCAAACTTCAACAAGTCTTTCAACACATATAATTGTTCAAAGGATAAATGTCCATTACTTTGTACTGAATTATTTTGTTCACCCTCTTTCACCTATGCCTAGAAGAAGCAACCGAATGCACAAAGCTCCTTCTTACCTTAGGGACATCCATTCCAACCTAATAACCAACAGCTCACCTCCTCAGCATAACTCCACATACTCTTTATGCAAGTCCTTGTCCTATAAAGCTTTTTCTTCATTACATAATTCTCTTCTCTTTAATATCTTCCACCTTTCAGCCACAGTTTTATCATCAAGCAGTTAAGTATGATCATTGGAAAAAGGCTATGAATGATAAATTGGAAGCCACGGAGGCTAACCACACTCGGTCTATCACCACTTTACCTAAGGATAAACATTCCAATAGGTTGCACGTGGGTATATAAAATCAAGTTTAAATCTAATGGCACTAACTTTTGTATTTTCCTTGGGAACTATGATTCCTTGGAAGTCTAAGAAGCAAGCTAACGTTTCCAGATCATGTGCAGAAGCTGAATATCGTGCCTTATCATCCTTAGCTTGCGAGATTGTTTGGATATCATCAGCTCTTTCTTGAATTGCAGGTCAGAATTTCCCTTCCCGCCTTGATTTTCTGTGATAATCAAGCTGCTATCCACATTGCCACTAATCCAAATTTTCTTGAAAGAACGAAGCACATAGAAATTGATTGCCATTTTATTCGAGATAAAGTCAATGATGGTTTTATCAAGCTTTTACCGGTTCACACTCAACACCAATTAGCTGATGTTTTCACCAAACCTTTGCCATCATCTCTCAGTTTTCCTCTCTTGTCCAAGATGACTATTGTAGATTTGCATAGTCCATCTTGAGGGGGAGTATTAGAGTTCAAACTTTAGCTCCAACTCCACAGCTCCAGCTCCAGCAAGCTCAAGCTCCAGCGCAGCTCAAGCTCAAGCTCAAGCTCCAGCTCTATCAGCTCAAGCTCCGTGTCATGTGCTTAACATGTTGTAATTAATCTTGGCGCCAATTGTATAGATACTAGATGTCAATTAGTTGTCATCCAGCTTAATAGTTAGTTAGATTCCTTTTCTATTTATATGGACAATGTATCATTTCACTGATCGATCATATATGAAAATTCTTTTCATCCTTCAATAGGGTATTAAGGTTAATCTCAATTCCATCTAGCACTTAAAACTTTTCGTTCTCTAGCTTACAACATCGTACTCAGATAATAGCATTAAATTTGGACCTACGGTAATTTCCATTGCTTAAAAATATACATACATACTTTATAATCGCACTCGCATGCGTTTGTTGCATAATCTAGAAGAATTGATTCTTAGAGCCAAAAAGGCAGCATCTAGAATTTGTGAATCAAAAACATAAAAACAAGTTCTTTTATTTATATAAGCATGTATGTGTTTATATTGAGTGGCTGGCTTCATATAAATTTGAAATTTGAATTATTAAACCAACAAATTCAAAAACCCAAATTCGATCAGCCATCTTAGCTGATCACCATGATCATTGATCCAAAAAGCAAACGAACTTCGTAAATAGATTTTCTATTCAAAAATAAAAAATCAGATCGCATTAAATTTATTGTTTAGATAAATTAAAAAAAATGGGGAAAAAAAGAAAGAATCAAGAAAAATAACAGTTACCATTGGGACAGAAGAAGAAGACAAACAACAAAAAAATGAACCAAAATTGGAAAATCCTCATCACTTCCGGCACTCAATACGACGTTGCGTTGTCTCCAATTGTTCAAATATAATTACTGCAGTACTTCTTCACAACCATGCCACCAGCAACTTGTAAAGCTTCCTCTAAGACAGATACTTTTATGGGTTTTAGAGACAATGGTTTTTTGGATGTATGTAAAGATTAGTGGAGGATGGCAGCGGCGATGGTGATCGCCGGCGGTGGGTTTTGGCGGCCTTTTTCGGGTACTATTCTTTCTTTTTTGCAGTGCATGAAGAATATTTACAGTAACAATCAATAATTCTGCATACGTGTGTACAAATCTGTCGTCAGCTGATTGGACAATGTCGCACGTGTGAAGATTTAAAACTTCAAATTTGAAAGAACTAGTTAATTTCACTAATAGTCACATAAGTTCAAAAAAGATTTCAAATTGGTCATTATAATATTTTTATTACCCAATTAGTAACTTAAGTTAAATAACATTACACAATTCGTGACTATTACCTTGTTTAATGCTATATCCGGTGCCATAGCTGTTAGACGAACTAACATTGTTAAGGCAATCAATCCCGATCGGCCTCCTATTTTATCTCTAGTTATTAACGATGAAATTATGGTTAGAACTAAATGAGTAATTTGTGGGGTTTTTTTTTTGGAACGTGACGTTTTTTTCTTTTAAAATATTTTTTTGTTTCGAAGATTTGTAATTTAGCGATCTGACACAATGATTGTTAGTCAATTTCGGAATTGAATGTGCAAGTCTACGACGTAGAATTCTGAGTGAATTCCACTGTAGAAGTGTCCAAGTATGTAACATTATTTAATTAAAAACAAATTCATCAAAATATTAAGAGTTTGGAAATGTTTTATCGTCAATAAACCATGTAATCGAGTAAGAGACAATGAGTAAATTAGTCAAGATATTTAAAATGACTTTCTTGAGCTAGCCAAACAGAGTACAAATTGGCTTCCTTATGATTTCCAAATACCAAGAATCTTTACTTTGTCATAGCCACGTCGAGCGTGACAAGGAAAATAATTTACCTATTCAAATCAACTTTAAAATTATCAATTTATTTTTATCCCGATGAAGAAATAATTTATTATTAATCAAAATTTTACTTGCTTAGCATCGGGAATAAATATTTTAATAAAAGAAAGCTGTACCCTTATTTTCGATTTCAACATTTAACTATTATAATTTGCTAGTACTTGACAATTTTAATAATAGTAATAATAAGAAAGTTAAATTTTATTTAATATTATATATATTGTCATATCCTACTTTTTTTCTTTTTCTTTGTATAGTTATAGAAATAGTGGTAGAAGTATAATTAATTTAAAGCGTCTTGTTCTACATTTCTTACTTGGTAGAGCTTGCTACATGGGTTGTGAGTAGGAGTGTAGTTTTCATATGTATGCAACCTCGGCCGACGAATCGGCCTATTTCTTGTTCAGACCAATTAAAATCTTATGAAAGATGAAAATATATGTGTGAAGAATGAATACTTTTTTCAGCATGAGGGCAAAATTATGAATTAGTTCCAAGAAAGCGCTAAAGCGAAAGTATTAATATGTCGGAGCAAAACTACTAATTTGTAGGCTTCCTCGAAAGGGAATTACAAACTATTAGAGCTAATAAAGGAAGAGATCAAAGATAAAGAGGGGGAAAAAATAGATAGGCACAACTCTCGAGCTCTTGCATTGTTCATATTCGTGACTTAGCTGTTGTTTGGTGGAAATTAAAATCAAATTTTTAGTAGATTTTAATTAAAAAAAATTGAAATGTGTAGTTGAAAAGTTGTGAGAATCATAAAATATGTGTTTAAAATTAATTGTTTGACTTTGATTTAGATTAAAATTTGATTTAAATTAGTACTAAATAGGGCGTTAATGAGGAAGATTCTATTATATTGTATTTAAAAAATCCTTTAAAAATCTCAATTTTTTTGGTCTAATTTAAGGAAATATTTTGACAGCCTTTTTATCTTTCTTGCTTTTTTCTTTTGAGTGTTTTTCTTTTGAGTGTCCCCTTTATAGTACAAGTTGTCATGAAGACATTTGTTTAATTAATGGTAACAACTTTTCTGTTATTCTTTTGAGCAAAGGTTCAACTTTTAAAGACACTTTTCTCTTTCTAACATTAATGCATCCAAAAGGACCCATAAACTCTATTATGTAAAAACAATTATGTCACTAAACTTTAGGAGTGTATGACCATCGGTTTTAGGAGTTGACATATAAGTTCCTGTTTGGTACCCATTTTTTTTTAAAATATATTTTTCTCTATTCTTTTCAATTACACATTTTTTATTAAAATAATATTACATGTAAATCAAAAATTTTTTCTTATTTTTCAATCACACATTTCCCGTCAATTTACTAGTTAAAAATGCATTTTTATATAAAAATGTCTCCCAAACACCTCCTTATTTGAAATTATCTGAACTCGACTAAAGTTGGTCTAAACTATTTAGATTCGACCCAGACCATTCTAATCTCGTTCAATATTATCTTTATAGAATTTCTATTGATACTTGATTCATTAGATCAAACTAGATCATGTCTACCTTAGATGAATAGGTCTAGCATGATTTAAATTTTTGACTAGGCACGTTTCTTGCTAAAACTAAGGCCTGATACAACATGTAAGAACAATTGAGTTAATTAAATGAGTGATCACTAAATTTTACTATTGGTTACTACTTCCTTATCAAAAAATAAATGGTTAGCGAATACTCACTCAATTATTCATTAATTTACTCATCCATCACTAGGGCCAATTCTGTTTGTACAGTTAGACAAAAAATCATACATGGAGATAAAAATGATGTGGCTGATGAATCATTTCCACGCCATCTAAATTGTTATTTTTCTTGGATGATTTTTTCCCTGTTTCGTGATTCTTGATGAAAAGATCTACGAGGAGTTCCTCAGATGCTCGTTCACCAATCGAAAAAATTATGATGCTCCTCATTTTCTTCCATGGAAATGGCATGGAGCGAATGATACATGAATTATCCAAGATTTCGGATAAATTAACAATAAAATCTGAAATGGTTTCAATTGAATTAAATTTCCGTCCTATCAAATAAGAGATTATTGTGTAAATCCCACAGTGAACGTGGGATTTCGCTTGCATCAAGTCAATTTTTGTGGTCTTTTCATTAAAAAATTCATGGGGATATTTAAGCATTCAGAGGACATGGTTCAAGAATGAAATTGTTGGAAGAAAAATGAAGGAATTATAGCTTTACACCATCTGCAAGTGTTTATGTTGACACATAAAAATTCAGCCCAAATCGAACGGCCTAAAGAATGAAACCCAATTGGAGGATCCCCAAATCAGATAGCCCAAATAACGAAGCCCAATCAAACAATTCAAGATGAAGGCCCAAATAGGGAGGCCCAAGAACGCGGTAACACCATCGCCCAAGTTTGCAAGTCGCCCAGAATCTGAGCGAATGGAGTGCCATGCAGTCGCCCAGAGCTGTTACTCTATTCTCGCCCAAACCTTCAAGTCGCCCAAAGTCTTAACAAATAAAAAGCGTTGTGGTTATCAAGAAGTGCAGTTATCAAAGCAGTTATTAAAGCAGTCCTATCACGTTCCACGATTCAAGGAATTCAATTGAAAACGGTTGAACGACGAAAAGTAGGGGCAGCAATTAAAAAAGACAGTTTTCATGACAAGCTGGCCATTATGAGGAAAGTGGGCAGTTGCAGAACGATCAAGCAGTTTTTAGGCGGTTGATCACAAAAAAGATCATTCATGGAGTATAAAAGGGAGAAAAGATATAGAGCAAAGGACCGAATCAAAAACTCTCGAATAGAGAACATGTAATTTTAATTTCCTTAGTTTAGACTTAAAACTTTTTTCAGTAACTCGTGTGCTTGCGCCCCTTAGAGGAATTTTGTTTTTGATTTCCAATTGTAAAGTCATCACCAATAAAAGAACACCCCTTTTTAGGACTTTGTCTCAAGAGATTTGTCCCTTACACAATCGTCTGATCCCTTTTAATTGTTAGCGACTAACCCGCGCGAAACAATTTGACACGCCCAGTGGGACAGTAGTGTTTGGTGTTGAAAGTACAAAAGGTGAAACAATATGCCTCAGAGATCCGATAAGGAAGCAGCAAGTCAGGGAGGAGTTCAGTCTGTGATCGAGTAATATGAGGAGCAGCATGCCTCTCCACGAGCAGATGGACAGAATCAGAGCAGTAACAATCGTTACGAACCAATGACGGAGTTGAGTCCTCGAACCATGCATGCGTTACTTGGAGAACTCACACAAGACGTTGTTGAACAGGTAAATCTTCGAAGTATTCATAATATGGAAAGATTTACCGAAAATGGGAATGCACACTATGACAACATGGCCAAACAACTAAACACTTTGAACGAAACAATGAATAAGTTAGTAGGCCAAATATGTCAACCGGTTATACTTCTTGCAAATCACTTTCAAACTAGGACAATTATGGGACATAATCTCTCAGTCCTAAATCCGAATCAAGGGGTAGAACCACTTTTTGGTCCCTCTACTTCAAACCAAGGGGGTACTGCAGTGCCAAATCAGAACAATGGTAGTGGTACGCCTAACTTGGGGGGTAATCCAAACATAAGAGATAATCTCATAAACAATGGACAGAATACCCCACGTGTTAATGAGGGAATAGATGTTTGGGCTAATGGTAATGGCCCTAATCATGGTAACTTTGTTGCCAATCAAGGACCAAACATCAGGCCTCATGCAAATCAACCGGTTAACCAGCCTGTAGGAATTCTATATGATCCCAACGTCATGTTGAGGAATCAGATTATGGAAATCGTACAGGATCAGATGGCTTTTGGGGTGCGTCCCGTCATTAGGCCGACGTACACAAAGCCATATCCTGATTGGGTAGACCAAGCATATCCATGGCCTAGAGGGTACAAAGTGCCAGAATTCTCACTGTTTACCGGTTTAAGAGAGTTGTCTACTCTAGAACACATAGGGCGATTTACATTGCATAGCGGTGATGTAATCGATTATCATAAAATGAGTCTTTTCCCTAGTTCCTTAACAGGAGTAGCTTTCTCATGGTTCATCAACTTGCCAGCGAACTCTGTTCAAAGATGGCAACAATTGGAACAGTTATTTCACGCTCAGTTTTATAAAACTGAGTCTGAAGTCACTTTGGCTGATTTGGCGAATCTACGTCAAATGCCAAACGAATGGGCAGAAAGTTTTCTCCAAAGGTTCAAGACAGCAAGAAGCAAGT